AAAAAAAAAAACATATTTTGGCAAAAAAAAAAAATATTCATCTCTTTACAAAGAAGAACACAATAGATTGATATAGGAAAGTTTAGAGTCTTAAGTTTAAGTATTTGTAATAAATTTCTTGAATTTAATAAAAAAATATAAATTAATAAAATAATAAAATTTAAGGAAAAATTGAAAAATCAATACATGAAAACACACCAAAAATATGTATTTTTTAATTTCCTAGATAGATTACTCAACTGCAACCGGCAAAACTTGGTCCGAGATTTTGTTGAGGATGCCTCTTATTTTGATGAAATACAAGAATTTAGAATTGAAATTCATGGGTTAAAAAATGTTTTTGAAATACATACAATTTTAACTTTGAAATACATGGTGTCAAATTCATGTATTTGAATCAAATTCAAATACATAACATTTAAGTAAAAACAAGCAATATATTTAAATTTAGAGTTTCAAATTCAAATAAACTAACCAAATTCAAGTCCCCAAATAAACTATAAAAGAAATCCTAAAACTTAATAACGATAACCAACTAATAAGTACAGTCCCAACATTCATGTCGGGTCATACACATGCTGTTTACAACAAGAAATTAAGAAAATTAAATATTAATTAATAATAAGTGGAGTAATTCATGTTATACTTAAATTTACAGACTCTTGTTTAAGTTAGCTGTGTGAGATTTTTTCCACTTAAAACCAACATGGTACATGCCATTTCTAATAGGTTGCTCACACAGCTCGCAATAAGCTTCCTTGAGTCGTGCATTTACCGGGCCTAAAGCAATTATACATAGGTTGCACATTCAATTTCAATTAAGATCCAATACTATGCAAAAACATCCAACATAAACCAATTGAATGTAAGTGGAAGGGGCCATATTATAATTAAATCCACAACTTTTTTTTAATGGATCAACGCGGTTTTTTTTTCACACTTTTTAACACACCCACTCACCGCAGACCAAGCTCCTATTAGGCCATAGACGTGAGCTAACTATGTGAAACTTGATGGGTGTGCGTTTAAGTTAACTTCCTAGCATTTCCCTTTCCTTCGGAAAATTGTAGGAGTGTTTTGGTATTTATATAACTTATAATTATAATAAATAAAGGGTAAAAATGATATTTTAAGCCTTTATTTTCCCTAATATATTTCTTGATAAATAATTTTTTTTCTCACACTTTTTAAAGAAAAACATTTCCCTCTATTTTCTCAATGTGGAACTTGACAGTTTTTTTCCTAACATTTTATTAAATATAGGAATGTTAACACTAATTCAAAAATTTTCTAATGAAATTTCATTACAATTACCGTATAGTACTTTCAACTTTTCAACTATATATACAATATGCTTTCCTACCACTTTCTATACGGTATTTCCCCTTTTTCAACCAAATAGACCAAATAGGAAATGGGGTAACCCTGTCAAAATGGAGCCCTACATCTGCATGGTAGTTTATCGCTCTGCATTTCTACTATATACATATCTGCGAAGAAACAAAGACGGAAGAAATAAAGAATCAAGACTCTGATGTTGTTGTTTCAGAGTTTGAAGGATAACTATTGTTGGTTTTAGTTAAATAAATTATATACAATAAATTATAAATAACAATAATTATCAATTATTAAATATCAATTATTAACTATTCATTTCCAGGTCTCATTTGTGTGGCTATATAAATTGAGTTGTAGGAAGTGCCTGGGGTGGTTTTGTGACTTGACTACAGTGGTGTAATGATATGAGTTGAGTATCCCTTATACTCTTTAATGAATTTGCTTTTAAAAAAAAAATTATCAATTATCAACTGCAACAAAAGAGCTAATTCAAACACCCCAGCTATGTTAGAAAACATGTGGACGAGAATATTGTAACCATTCAATCTAAAATTAATTAGAAATCAATGGAATAACCCATATGTGATGATTTCCTACTTAACATGCTAAAGATTTTAGTCAACTAAACTCTAATAGTAATGATATGGAGGATGACAATTTGGGATGAAAATTGAGATCAATGATGTGGCTTATACTTAGGTTATTAAATTAGTTGATGTTTATAATATCATGGGTCTCAAAAAGGACAGTGATTGATACACTTTATATTTCAACATCCGGTTTAGTTATTAAAAAATTACTATTTTTTAGTTTGAAATTAAAAACAAACAAATATAATGATACAATCATGTACACAAGATACAGGAACCAACTGAATTAATTTTATTTATATTATATTTTTAATAATTAAACCGAAAGATGTTGAATCAGAGAGTATACTAAACATTTTCCTCTCAAAAAACAAAAAGATCAATCATTAAATAATATAAAGTTTACTTTTTAATATTTTAAATAACGCAATTTATACTGTATCATTAGTCCTAGATTTTAATCTTAAATTGTGTCCCATTTATCATTATCCAAACTCTAAAAGTCATTCTCAGGTGCAATTTCAAACAATTTCACAAAAAATTGCCCATAAATAAGCCCTTAAAGTATATTTGGATCGATGGAGACATAGAGTAAAGGGAAAGAAAGAATTTTTTGTTCAATTTCCACCTTGATCCAGACATGCTCTTAGGGTGTGTTTGGTTGGGAGGGAAGTTTCTCCTCCAACTTTCCCTCTTATAGGGTTATTTATGTATTTTCATTACTTAATACCACAACAAATGATGGGAAAAGTGACATTTTTAGTTTTTTTTTTTTTTTGACATAATTCCGGAGTAATAAACTTTTCTTTTTACATTTTTTGAAAAGAAAAAGTTCTCCCAACTTTTCTCATATAAGACCCACTTAATAATTTTTCTACTAACTTTTTTTATGTGAATTCCTTACTAAACATAACAAAAATTAACAACCAGCAAAATCATTATAAAACTTATCAATTTTCTCTATAGTATTTTTTAACTTTTTGTATAATACTTTTTCAATCTGGTGAAAAGTTTCCCAATAAAATTGGCTTTTAACAAAATAGGCCCTTAGAGTTTTAACCTATGAGAATGTATTGGTACTAGTTCTGGAGCATACCGACCTCCTACTTGTTAATTTTTCAAATAGACCATCGTGTTAAAATTATACTCAATTTTATTTTTTTTTATAGAAAAGTTTTAATTTTAAAAAGGGAATGTGGATTTTCATGTCAATTTACAGAAAAAAAAAGGTGGGGGTGTAAGAATGCCTATAAAAGGATCATTAGGGAATTAACACACAAAGAAGAGAATGATTAAGGGTTTTTAAATAATTTAACAAACATCTTTGGATTTTTTTTCTTGCAGGTCAATTTGAAAAATGCTTCTCTATTTAAAAAACTAAGCTAAAATTAAAAAGTGGCAACATAATTTAATCAAAATTTGTAGTATTACCTAGTAATAAAAAAATTATTGGTGTACACTCAATTCAACACACTTTTTCTAACATTTATCATGGTTTAATTATTAAAATATAATATAAGTATAGTTAATTCAATTGATTTGAGTGATTCTTACATTATGTGTACATGACTACATCTTTAAATTTGTTTGTCTTTGATTTTATAGTAAAAAATAATAAATTTTTAATAAATATATTGTACAATATGTATTGAATTAAGACTAATTATAAGTTAAACGAGTTAGGCAAATTGGGTTAAATAGGTTAATGACTTAGAGAAATCAACTTATGATCCACTCATGCAATGGGTTGAACGGGTTGTGAT